AACTTGGGTGGCTTGGATTGAGGATTTGTAAAACTTTGAATTGGCCTGTGCCTCATGCTGTGCAAATTCTTCAAATTGGGCATCTGATTTGCACTACCAACTTCAGAGAAATCCATTGCATTCTTATAAAATACTTAATAACTATGAAAAAGCTGTAACTATTATATATTACCTTGAAACATTTTCTTAATATGCTGAAGCATAAAAACCAGTACAAACATTGACATATATGCATTATATGTATGCACACATGCATGAGTTCAAATTGTGAGGAAAGTGGCTTACATTTTTTTGTAGTGCCCCAAAATTGAGCCTCAAGGTGTTTTCCTTGAACCTCATCTCAGATCAAAGCATATGTCTCATGGTGTTTTAAGTGCCCGTTTTGGAAGGCTTCCTGCATCGGCCTCTGGCTTTGCAAGCTGGGCCCCACATGGAAAGCCTAGAAGTCATGTTTGGTGAAAAACCAAGAAAGCCAGAATAGGCTTTAATTGAGCTAATAAATTGACTTTCTGGTGAAGCTAATTTCAGTAGCTTCTTCAACACAGCTCAATCAATGCAGTTCAATCAAAGATGTAGCCTTCCCAAACAGGTTCTGAAACACTAGTGTAGGTTATTATTTGCTTATTAATTTTCACATTGTATCCCTTGTTTGGAGTTTCATAATGAACTCTAACATTTTTGGGATTATGCCTGTCATTTTACTCAGGTATTGGGAGGTTTTGATGCATCAAATTATGTAACTGAGAGGAAATGGGCTACTGCTCTAGATGGCACTCAAATTCCTATTTCAATAGCTTACCGCCGGAATCTTGTAAAGCTTGATCGATCTGATCCATTATTACTTTATGGCTATGGCTCTTATGAGGTAACATGTAATTTCATGGTTTCATTAATCAGTAACAAGTATGTATTTCTATTAAAAACACTCCTTAGCTGATAGCAAAAATGAAGACAATCTTCTGTAAATGAAATAGATTTACTTTTTCATTTTAAGTTGATTTCTCAATATTGATATTCTTTACCACCTGTTGTCTCTTAAGGGTGGTCTATAGCTGATTCTTCCATTTTTGGAGTCTCTAGGGAAGGACTCGCACTAATCTAACTTGCTCCTGATTATTGGCTTAGATACCTGTTTAAGCACCTTCCTGCCCTAACAGTATGCTCCTGTTGTCAGTTCAGTTTGGTTAGCACTAAAAAGAGAAAGACAAAAGTGTTAACATGTCCTGAATTTTCATAGATTGACTTAAACATAACCCCGAGTTTTTCATCGACTTAAATATGCCTTATGTATTGACCCCACTAGACTTAAATACCTTCTGTTAGTAAAACGTTAAGAAGTGTTAACATGTCACATCATGTGACCCCTTCAAAATTTTAAAAACTCTATTTTACCCTTCCATTTTTTTTTCTCCAAATACTTCGAAATTTCTCCCCTGGCTAAATACCTGACGGCATTGCCTTTTAAAAGCAAATACTTGATTGGCCCTTTTAGAAGGGCCAAAAATATTATATCCTTTGTGTTTTCTTCTACACAAATCTTGCTCTTTTCTATGTTTCACTCTGCTTTGCTGTGAAAAACATTTAAACAAAACAGCTTGTATTTATATCTACTACACAAATATTAGGCTAATAGGCTTTCATATGTTTACTTTGATTTCATGCAAAAAGAATTTACAAGAAAACAGTATTTATATGGCCTCTTCTCAAATTTCAGGCTAATAGGTTTTCGTATGTTCACTCTGTTATTCTGCAAAAAGCATTTAAGTAGTTGAATAAAACTTTTTTTTTTTTTTGAGAAAAGGTAATGTAATTTTATTTATAGAAATTACTAGTACAAAGGCCCCCCCCAACTAATCACCTTAGAAGGGGAAACAGCCCAAACATAGCAAAATTACAGATGCCATAGGGTCCTAGAATTCAGCCTAGCCCCTAACTGAGCAGCCTGAATTCCCTTCGATGCCGAGACCCAAGAAATCAGCTTTCCAAAAGAAATAGATATCAGATCTTCTGGGTCCTTATAGATATTCTGAAATAATCTTTTGTTCCTTTCTGCCCAAATGGTACTGATAACTGCAGCCAGAATGGACCTCTACACTACTGAAGCAAGCTTTGACAATCCCTGTAATCTCCAGCTCCACATCACCTCCTTCACCAAAGCTGGCATTTGACCAGGCAAGACCCACCGAACCAAGAAAGTGATTCCAAATCCTAGCAGATATTGAGCAGTGCAGAAACAGATGACTGCTATCTTCCACTCCTTGACCACATAACACACACCTCTGATCCTGAATATGAACCCTTCTCTTACATAGGTGGGCTTCAGTTAAACACCTGTCTAGAACTGCAGCCCATACTAGAGTATTGATTTTTGAGGGAGAGGTTGGATTCCAGATTCTGGAAGCAGGCAAATCTTCAGAAGTATTCATTGTTATGTGAGAGGCAAATGACTTGACTGAGAAGAGGCCATCTGTACTCCAATTCCAGGACCAGCTATCTTCTTTGAACAGATTTAGGGGTTGAAGGGAGAGCAGATTAAGATCAGCCAGGACAGGAATTTCCCAATTCTGAAAGTTCCTTCTAAAAGGACACCAGGCTACTGAGTTCCCCACCACCTCATAATAATCAGCACTCACTGCATCTTGATGGTCTGCTAACTGGAATAGATGTGGGATTAACTCTGAAAGAGGAGTGTTTCCACACCAGGGATCTTTCCAGGACAGCCTATCACCCTTCCCAAGGTTGGGGCTTAAACCTCTACTGAGAATGGGAAGAGTGTCCATTATTTTCCTCAATACCAAACAGCCTAAAGACGGGGGAGAAGAAGTGGTGATCCACCAGTGGTTTCTTTCCAACCCGAACCTCCAGATCCATTTCCCAAGAAGAGCCTTATTAAAGGTCCTCATTCGCCTAATATCCAAACTTCCTTTACTTTTCGGAGAGCACACCTTCTCCCAACTCACCAAGTGGAGTTTTTTCCTATCCTCCTCCCAGCCTTTCCATAAGAAGTCCCTTTGCGGCCTCTTAATTCTTTGGGCCACTTTGCTTGGAATTGGGAATAAGGAGAGATAAAATGCCGGCAAGTTGGATAAGGAGCTTTTCTTTATAGCATACTCACGATGCCCAATCTTCAAGAGTTTCATGGACTCCAATAACAAATATTGGACGAGATTTTCAACCAGTTCCAGGACTGCCCATTACTATATATGTTTGATTTATCAACAAATCATTACTTCAGAAAACTTTAAGCATTGCATCATAGAAGATGCTGGTGAATTTGAACCTTCAGAACAATCAACTCATAGGAGAAATCCCAAGAGCACTTGCAACCATGTCCACATCTACCAGTGCATTTTGGAAGTTAACCAGCTATAGAAATGTTCCATGTGTTATACAACGGGGTCGAAGGACCCGTTGATATTCTGAGGACTATAAACCCACATGACCATCATGTTCTCCAAGTTCTTCCATGGCATCTTCCAAGCGAAAGGTGCACATCAAACATGTTATTATCAGGTGGTTCCTTCGAATTAGTTTTAGTTTTAATGGCTATTATTTTCATTGAAAGGTCCTTTGCCATAGTATTGGACTGAACTGGCTATTGCAATGTCAGACACATCATGGAGTTGTTTTTCCAGTGGTTTGTGTACAGGCGGGGTTTAGGTAGAAGATGACATTGCTTCAGAAAGGGTAAAAGTGTCTTTTTGTGAAATCCATCCAACATAAAGGTGGGAAGGTATTTTTTAAGTCGATTTAGAAACCTCAGGGTATGTTTAAGTCAATTTTTGAAAACTTAGGGTATGCTTAAGTCTTTTACCCTTAATTTTACTATTTAATTGTCTTCTCGTCTTGTCCATGCACTTTATAATTTTCTTCTATCCTTCGGTTTATTGTACCTATTAATGCTAAAGAATCTTTGTTGTTGATAGATATGCATTGATCCCAGTTTCAAGGCATCAAGACTCTCTTTACTGGACAGAGGCTTTATTTTCGCAATAGCTCACATTCGTGGTGGTGGTGAAATGGGGAGACAGTGGTATGAAAATGGAAAGCTATTGAAGAAGAAAAACACATTTACTGATTTTATAGCTTGTGCTGAGTATTTGATTGAGAAGAAATACTGCTCGAGGGAAAAGTTGTGCATTAATGGGAGGAGTGCGGGGGGGTTGCTTATTGGTTCTGTTCTGAATATGCGGCCTGATTTGTTCAAGGCTGCAGTAGCTGGAGTTCCATTTGTAGATGTTTTGACTACTATGCTTGATCCAACTATACCCCTCACAACTTCAGAGTGGGAGGTCAGTTCTATTTCTTTATCTATCATGAAGATTTGAGTTCATTTAATAAACGGATTAAAAGTGCAGTTACAAAGAGAAAAGGATCGAAGAATTCATTGAGTTTCTGTATAAGGCTTATTGCAAAAATTGGTTTGATCAGATGACTGTATCTTCTGTTCCATCACATTAAGGGGCTGTTTGAGAACAACTAAAGTGACTGAGCTGAATGAGTTATTGTTTTGTATTTTAGTGGACAAAATATCCAGAATAAAAATTTAGGGGGTATATAGTCAACCCAACATGCCATTTTAATGACTTTTCCACTAAATGACAAAACAACAAGTCTTTCAGTTCAGCCATGCCTGCCATTATCAAATGGCCCCTAAAAGGTTGATAGAAAATGTCCATGAACCACATGATAAAAAATATCCAAATGTCCATGTGTTTGAGAACCACATGACTGTATCTTGCCTTGTTAAAAACCATTGCTTGCTTGGCCATTCTTGTGGATTATCCATATTGATCATGTGATACCTCTTTGCTGCTTGATACTACTAACAGTTGTTGATATTGATGCACTAATAGTTTGAACAAAATTTGTATTATATAGTGTCAAGTTGCTGGCATCTTCATTTTATTTTTATTTTTTTACTTTTGGAGGTTGAGGTTGGGGGATTTGAAAAACAAAAATTGGATTAGTCTTTCAATTATAGATAAGTTTGAGTTATTCCACAACAAGTTAGTGGCAATTGTAAACCGGATTGCTATTTGGACTCATTTCCTTTTTCTTTCAAAGCCCTTTACCTTTAACCCATACAACCCTACTAACATTGTATACCGGATTGCTATTTGGATTCATTTATTCTCATCTCCCTTGCATCAGATGTGGACGTATTTTCTATCATTATTTGGAGCTACTTGGGTGGTATATTTTCAATTTGAAATCCAAAAGAGTGAAGGTAGTTTGACATTGTATTAGAAATGCTATCCTATGGAGCATTTGGAAAGAAGGAGCAAACCTGGGTGAATCTAGAATTGATGGAAAAGTGAGGGATGGGTGGGTAACATCAGATTATGTTTTTTAGAACCTGTAAGAACAGGCAATTCATCGAGGGCTGAGAACAGGTTAAGCACTATACCGCTTGAAGGAGACTGTTGGGTTGTCATTTTGTGGGTAAAATCAGGAAAGGGAAGTACCTTGGGCTTTCAGATTCATTGTCAGAGACATCAATTCTTTGGAAGACAACTGAACTGCTTGTTCAGCTCAGTCCCAAGAAATGCTAATGAAACTGCTGACAGATTAGCCAAATTAGGTGTTTTCAGTTCTGTGTTAATTTGGGGTTGTTTGGAACCAATGTTGTTGTTGTTATTGTTATTTTGATCAACAACAGAATAAATTCATTAATATATACAAAGAGGTACAATGGAACACTACAGAGAGAGGTAAACTCTCTTAACACACTCCGAGATGACAGCTGATTACACAGTTATAACACAGCCCAGGAAAGTTGATCCCTTCCCACTTCCTTGCTTTGCCAAAGTATCAGAAAAAGAATTAGCACTTCTTTTTATCCATTGCAGCTTAACTTGTATGCTGTGTTACCCATTTGAACTTCCTTCTTTCATTAACATAGTTCCACCAACCAATCTCCTCCTTTTGCAGCCAGCTCACTACAAACTTTGAATCCCCTTCAATTGTCAATCTTCTGATGTTCAACTCCTTTGCTTTTTGAACTCTTTCCATCACAGCCATTATTTCAGCCCTCAATGAATCACCCATATCTATTGGGCCCGAGGAAAGAGCAATAATTCTTCTCTCCTCATTTTGTAAAACACCTATGCCTGAAGGACCTGGGTTCCCTTCACTACTACCCTCAAAATTCATCTTGATAAACCTGGAAGTAGTTTGGGGCTAGGTCTGCTTGATGAGAACTTTAGAGAGAGAGAGAGAGGGGGCGGATCCTACACCCATCTTATTGTAAAATTATATTCTGCTGATAAAAAAAAAGAACTCTAGAGACGAGTCAGCCACCTCCTTCCACTTTCTAAACAAGTCATCGGTAGAATACGTTCAAAACCACTCAATGATATTGCTCATTGGACCACTCAGATGGTAATTGTTTTAATGAGTGCTTCTCTACCCTTCTAATATGAAAAAAACTCTTTGGTTCCTTTCCTCCCAGACTGCCCAGTAAACAATCACCCTTGTACACCTCCATTGAACACGCTTTGTACATTTGGTGGTATTTGTCCACCCCACCCCAGCCTTGACCCTGAAACTGTCCTGACTATATAAATATTGTTAATATATCTTAATATATGTTATATTATATTATAATCTTGCATATATTATATTTTGCTATATTATATTACATGATATAATATAGTTTTCGGTAGGTTTCCAAAAAATAAAAAGAAATACAAGTAGGAATGATCAGGGATGGGTGGGGCAAATTTGGGGATCCCCATTCCTCACAGGGATGGAGATGGGGTTGGGATTTCTGCCCTTGCTGGGGTTTGGGGCAGTGATAGGGCAAGGCATTTATTTAAGTTCAGGGTTGAGGATGGGGCATGCAAAACCCAGACCCACCCTGCCTCGTCATTCCTAGATGGCATCAAGAAAGAAGACACAGGTTTATCCCAAAGGTCTGACAAATTAAAAAGATATGGAAATTGTTCCTTCACTGGTGAGTCACCTAGTCACACATGTTCCCAGAATTTAACAAGGTTTCTAGAGCACAAGGTACATTTGATAAACAATTAGAATACAAATAGAATATCATGGATAGATTTTCATGGTGAATCTCCTGTTGCTCTAGCCCAAAGTCTAGCATTCCATCCGTTAGCCGCAAGTCCATGAATGGTTATTATCACCTTTTGCGCACAATTTTTCCTTTTGTGTTGTCTGACTCCATAATTACTTACTCAATGGAGCCATATTCCTTTTCTGGAAATTCCCTACACCTAGCTCCCATAGAAGAGATCTTCTATGGTCCCTCTTCTCTCCCCATCTTCCAACTAACTCCGTGGTCCCTCTTCTCTCCCCTAGCTCCCATAGGATCCCTATTCCTTAATCAAAATTTCCAATCTTCTACTCACCAGTTCTAGAATTTTGAACACTGACAAATAGTACATTGACAAGTTGGTCAACGTTGACCTAATCAATGTATTACCTACCCCCCAAAGACAGGTAACTTTTCTTCCAAGAGGCCAACCTTTAGTGAATCTCTCAACTACTGGGTTCCAAAATCTAGCATTCCTTGGATTATCACCCAAACGTAGCCCTAAATAGGTCATAGGCCATTGAAACACTACACAACCTTGACATTTAAATATGACATTTTGTCAAAAAGTTGGGCAACCAATTTCAAATTTCTGATCCACCTATGGCACTCCCTTCGCAGAAAAGAATACTATCATCTGCAAATTATAAGTGAGTGATCAGCACACTCTCCCTACCAACTCTCCACCCCCTCACCAAACTTCCAGTATTTGCCCTAGAAATTAAGATTTGAATCAACCCAAAAGAAAGATAATATTTTAATCTGAAAATTAGAGAAAAAAGGGAGAAAATAGCAAGAAAAGAAGAGAAAGAAGATGAGAGAAGGAAGGAGAAGAGAGTCCGGTCTGTTCTCTCTCCTTTCTCCTAATCACTTTTATTTGCTTTATCATAATTAACATAATCACAACGATGCCCTTAATGTGGCAGTGAGCTGAGAAACATAACATAAGATGAATAAAGAAGTTAACAGGCACACTAATATAAGCATAACAAATAAAAGAAGATAATAATAAAAGAACACTAGGATGCATTTGGCCCAGTCTCTCTAC